GTTGTATCTAGTTTAACTTAAAGGTTTTAATTTTCCTCATGTGTAAGAAAAATTAGTTTTAATCACCCATATCTGCATTCAGGATTTAAATCAATACTGTATTGCTGAAGATCAGAATGTTTAAAATATATATTAGAAAATAACAGGAAAAAATGGCAATGCAGAAGTGTGCTGCTGAGAAGTCAGGGGAGATTTGATGAGGAGAGAAATCAGAGCATGCTGTTCTGTGTACATGGATAGGCTGTTAGTTTTATATGCCTGGCTTGTAATGATGGTGTGAAGCATCCTTCTGACACATCACTGTGTAAGAAGGAAGTGAAGTAGGGTAAATTTACTTTATGATCTATCCAGGATTCATTTAGAAAACTCCAGCTGCTAAGCCTGTGAGAAACAGGCTTCAGTTTGTCTAACTTCAAATGTGTTAAAATAAGCTCCGTATTACAACTGGACAAACCCCAAAGCTTTAACACTTCTTGGAGAAGGAACTTTTTCTTCTCTGTGTTTGTATGAAACCTAGTGTGCCCAGAAGTGGCACTTCCTTCTAATAATGAACATGGAAACGTGTAACCAGTCTTAAGCCAAATCCCAAATGACATGACCTCAATCCAAGACCTCTTCCCACAGTCCTGCCTGTGCACATATATGTATTACCCTCTGAAAGTTACACCCAAATTTGTATTTTTTACAGCAATTAATAAGAAAACCACCACAACAAAATCCCTGTCCTCCAAATGTCATAAGTGTCTTTGTATGGCACATGACCTCTTGACTGTATAACCTCTGTTGTGATGCCAAAAATATCTGATGAGTAACTTTCTTTTGTTTTAGTGGGCTCCTTATTGATGAAGGTAGCCAGGAACTGAAAATCCTGCTGTGGTTAAGGCAACAGCATATTTTACTTATTGTATCTTCCCAGATCTTAGAAACATGTTGATTTGTTTCTCACCTCAGATGGCCTGTCTTACATCTCATCTTCTGACAAATTCTCCAGTTCTCATCTATTTTTGGGCCATTATTTAATATATTTTTATAGTGTGAGTAGCTCAAGACCTTCTCTTCCTTACAAATCTTAATTTTCTTACTGCTTCACAGTCCAATTATTTCAAATGATCTGCTTTTCAGATGATTCCCCCATCATTCCCAGACTGTGAGACAGCTGGTTTATGTGATGGAAAGTACCAGAGGGAACCTTATACTGATAGGCTAATTGTTTACATGAGTGAAAAAAAAATCAAAGAAATTTCACTCTCCATGTTCCCATGCTTCTGTCTGATTGTACCATCCTTGGCTTCCTGTGCTGCGCATTTCTTTGTCAAGTTCACGTCTTCCCTTTTGCCTCTTCACTGTGGTCTATTCTCCCTGTACAGGGCCACTTTAGTTTCTGGAAGATCTCTTGCTTTCTAAGCAAGGAGCTAAGCAGATGGCATCCTTACTATCTCAGTATTCTTGTGGGCAAGTCAGGACAGCTATAAGGAATTAGCAGAGTGATGACACTGAATGGAGAGTGAACTAAAAATTTATGCATTTATGCAGCAAGAAACAAGAAGTCATTGTTAGCCAGCCAGCCAAAAATCAGGTACCTGTTCCCCAGTTCCTTTATTGGATATCATGGGTTTCTCTGCCCCATCCTTTGTTTTACAGACTATTAAGATCCATGAGAAAGGGATAATTCCTTTGCTTGTGAATAACACCTTTTTACACTGCTGTGGTATTCTGCCCAGGAAATTGAGCTCCTCCACTGGGAATCTCCCACAGGTGCTGACTGAAGTTTTTGTTACTGAGTGTCTGAAGGAAAAAAATTCCCAGTTTTCCTTTGTAGTCTGGCATGTACATTTCACTCTTCACTTGGAACTGTTCCTTTCTTATTTACCTATTTCCTTCATTCTCAGAGTTCACCCCAGTTTCTTGTCATGTTTCTTTTCTAAGACTACTAATCTATCTCCACTTAGTCTGCCACTCATTGTTTATAGAGTTGGCAAGGAACAGCTAGAAAGTGTTCTGCTGAAAAGTACTGCTGAAAAGGATGAGAAAGATAAATCTAGACAATAAAAATAGCAGGGAAATCTGTCCTGCAGTGGAGCAAAATGAGTATCAGTGGAAGTTCTATATTAAATATATGTTTCTGGGAAAGTTTAGAAACAAAAATGGAATTCACAGTACATTAATTCTTTTATAAAGAATTAAAGGACATTTTAAGAAACATGCCCAGAAACCATTGTTGCCACTCACCTTATACACTTTTCTGTGTGGACTCAGCCATTGGAAATCTTTCTTTGGTTTGCATGTTAGTTCTTGTTTCTTCTTCAGGAGTCACGTAATTTTAGACCATGCTTTATAAATTACCTGAGTGTTGAAATGGTAGAGGAAACAAAGTTGTCTTGGGACAGAGGGGGAAAACCATTTCAAAAGTTCTAGCCCAGCTGCAGTGCCTTCTGCATTAATCAGCTTCTCTATGGTAAGGGGAGAGAGAAAGAACAAACAGATTTCAGCTGAATTAGTCATGACAGCTGAATATGCACCTGGTTCAGTGAAATTTAAAGTGCATGATTCCATTCCATGTATAATTGTAATCATCAGAAATACTCAATCTCCCAAGGCTTGCATAAACTTATATTGCTCAGGTGCTAATGAACAGAACAGCACCTTGTTGACATCCACTTTCACAAGAAAATTTTAGTAAAATGGGTTTTATTTCTCAGTTTTATTGCCCCTTGGTGAAGCTGTATTTTTGTCCCAAGCCTGGAGCACAAAGAAGTATGAAGCAACAATGCTACAGTGGGACAGCAAGGACTGTCTGGTGTTCCTCTTCCTCTTTATAAGTCATAACCATAAGCTGCCCCACTGATTCAGTAAGCACTGTGATATTTAAAAGAAACAAGAGGAAAAAAACCTGGCCAATAAAATGGTCTGACTTTCAAAGTATCACATGTAAACGATAAGGGCTATACATTTATGCTCCAGCTACTGCAGAGAGATAATATCCTATCTCTCCTAGAATTAAATTAAAATAATAATAATAATAATAATAATAATAATAATAATAATGAGAAGGAGAAGAAGAGGAAGAGGAAGAGGAAGAAGAGGAAGAGGAAGAGGAAGAGGAAGAGGAAGAAGAGGAAGAGGAAGAGGAAGAGGAAGAGGAAGAGGAAGAGGAAGAGGAAGAGGAAGAAGAGGAAGAAGAGGAAGAAGAGGAAGAAGAGGAAGAAGAAGAAGAAGAAGAAGAAGAAGAAGAAGAAGAAGAAGAAGAAGAAGAAGAAGAAGAAGAAGAAGAAGAAGAAGAAGTTGTTTTAATTGAAGAAAATAATTACTACAAAAAATGTTCTTTTAATTCATGCTAGTTGAAGGAAGTGTGACTCTGGAATGGGACTTAACAATTAGTCTGAAGTGTGTAGGACACACAGTGCTGGGACAATGCAGTGGTGTCAATGACACCCACCATTCTACCTGACTGTGTCTGAAGTCATGCTCATAAATCCATATTTAAACAATTAAATAAGTGGTCTGATTTTCAAAAATGCTTCTGACCCAGCTTCTCCAGCTGACTTCAATAAAATGTGCGCATGTTCACTTCAGGAACGAAGCCACATATTTAGATGCTTAAATCTAAGCATCTAAGATTCAAAATGCTGCCAATAATAATTCTCCTGGCTTCACCATGGGGATAACACACCAAGTGGATTTTAAATACAGGTGTTTCTACAGGAGAATTAGCAATGTGATCAGAGGGACCTGATGTAACTCCTGGTTTTTTGGTTCTTTCTGAAACAGATAGGGAATTGTGTTTTTGAAACATCAGCATGGTGTTTCCTACACCTGAGCAAACAGCCCATAGGAAAGCTGTCACAGAGAATTCTCTGACTCCCTGGCTCATACTTCTGATCAAAACAGTCTTCATATTATTGTATTAATAACATGTAATAATAGAAAATGTTCTCTCAAAGTATTTTCTGATCATCATGTTTGAAGGAAACTCTCTTGAAAAGAACTCCTCATCTGTAGATATACATACCTAGTCTTCAGCTTCAAGTAAAAATAGCAGGTTTACCATTTTTAAACAGGACACACATTTTATTAACACTTCATGGACTTCAACATACACTTCTGGGGAATGGCTCAGTGGTACTTTTGGAAATAACTCAGCTGTAAACCTAATCTTGGAGCCACCCTCGTGCTGAGAAACTTAAATTTACTCTGTGACTTCTAGAAGCAGCTATACAGTTCTGATTGTTGTGAACTATTTACAACCAAAAGGAAGAATACAGTTTTTAAATTGAAGATAAAATAGAAGTGTTTTAATAATATTTGAATATTAGTTCTCTATATGTAAAATAATCTGCTCATTTCTGTGAGTTGGGTGATCATTAGGATAATACACAATGGAAACCATTGTGCTTCAGGTTAAAAATGCGTTGTGCTCAAGCAGAAGGCACTTGGCAGAATTTGCCAAACATCGACCAACTTCCCACCACATTCTTCTCATTTGAAGCCAGCCTCAGAGAAAAAAAATCAGCAGGACTGTACAGACCAATCTGGATTCTGGTTTTGTTGGAATTAGAGAACTTCTTAGTTTTATTATGAAAAAAGACCCTTCCAAGAAAAATAACAAACATTTCTAATTTTATACTGAGAGAATTATTCCACTGGAAAAAATTATGTGAAGCCTAAGCACAGGTATCCAACAACAGCTGTAATCAAGCTTACCACAGAAGGCATTTAAACTAAGAGTCTAGTGTCTGCAAAACTCGTGTTTCTTCGATTTCCTCTTGGGAGAATGATGCTACTGAGAAGCAGGCCAGCATTCTCCTTACTCCCTACTTACTCTACTTTCTTTTTACATCCTCTTTTCCATGCTCTATTTTCAGATCAGTTCCCCAGACAGCCCAGAGATGGATGGGTCTGCAGGGGCATGCAAACACAACTACCCTGCTAAGGCAATGATCACAGTCAGAATACCACCACAGGGTAGGGCTACTCCTTTTACAAATGCACAGGACACCTGATTAGGCAGTGCTACCAGACAATTTGGCCAAGGCAATATGTAATATCAATGGCAAGCTGAATGCTGGGTGTGAGAACTCCTGCCACTTGACCTTGTTCTCAATTCATTGGCTGCACAGCTTCTCCCAGTGTAAGCAATATACCTGAAATGAAAGGGAAAACAATGTGTAAAGCAGCCATGAAGGTAATGAGTTACATTAAGAAGGCAGTTATGAAAACAATATTTTTGAAATCAAAGCACCCAAATGAGAGCTGAAAGAATAATCACATTTGTGTTTTTAGCATATTCAGTTGCCAGGAGGGCATTAGTCTTCCTGAGCTGTAGCAGCAGGAAGTCTCTAAGTTCTCCATACGGAGCCATGCAGCCAGGCAGTCTGGGATGATCCTTGTGGCAGGGAAAGTAACATCTTCTATAGCATACAAATGAATCTTAAAGAAGACCCTTTTGTATAATTCCTAGTAATGATTGCTTTCTGAGTCTCAGAGAAATACACACTTGCATGACTTTGGAAAATATTCTTTAAAGTTTTGCATTTTTTCACACATTCCTGATGCCAAGTCTTTGGTCCAATGACTTGTCACATGTTCATCTGCTTTAGACTTTCATCATTCAAGACTGACAGTTTTGTTCATTTTAGCATTGGTGTAATTCTAATTACTGGTAATATGTAAGCGGTGATGCACACTGACAAATCAATGAAACATGTAAGAGAAACTTAACCATGATGGAATATGAGCAGGATTTATTACCCAAAATCACAATAATTAACATGCTGATAATCAGAGTTGTAACTTCTATATTGTAACTATAATTCCACCACCCTCTCAACATTAAGCCTGTAATACATACCACACCTATGGATATAAACTGAATGGAGATTTTCCTCCAAGGAACTACTAGTATAAAGAGATACTTTGGATATGAGACACAATATCAGTAGACTTTTATATAGCACATCATTAACCTGCTGTCCCAATTTTATTGGATTAGGTGTTCAGCAACTTCGTGAAGCAGTTGCAGGTCTTTTAATGAAGAATGAGAAGCCCTATAGTATTACAGATAATAGGACATAATTGGCAAAACATTCAAGGGTCCTCCTGAAAAGAATCTGAGTGTTCAGCTAAGAACTTCCAATAAAGGAAAATGTTTGTTTCCCATTTGGGTTTGTTTCTTGTTTGGATTTGTCCTTTTCAAGAATTTTTTGATAATGACTTAATAATTAAACAGCATTACATCCTTGTGTTTTTTGAAAATAGGGCTAACAGGTAAATGTGGCAAAAGGGAAAATACTTGTGAGTTAGGTGACATCAGAGCAGACATGCTATTCTAAAAATTCTCTACTCTGGCTGACTAGCAAGAATAGGCATTTTGTGAAGTAATTCACAAAATTATGTGAACTTCAGAAAGAAATGTGTGAATTAAACAGAAAGTAATATGGCATCCAAAAAAAAAGAATGTACCTGTTATGTAATTGCACAAGACACAGACACAGTGTCTCCTGGTGTTCTCTTTTTCCCAACAGAGCTTAAAAACAATAGCATCTCTGCTTCAAATAGTCTCTGAACTGCAGATAGTTAGAAAACATGACTGTGCTGACATGTATTAATCTGAAGTTGCCCTCTTCTGTTGCCCTCCGGGCATCTGTTTCTAGTCACTTTTTGGTTGCAGGATCCTGGATCAGCTAGAGTTCAACTCAATTTGATCTGATACAGCCATTCACTTTTCCATATGTAATTAGCCGCAAAATACAAATTGTCAAGATAGAGGTAATTAAAAAAATTCCTCCTTCAAGACAGAAAAGAAGGCTGCAGCAAATGACACAGTTTGTTATTTTAACAACTGTTTTGCACTGAATGCCTTACTTATTCCGATTTTTAAAGGATGCATCGGGGACAACTTTTTAGCAGTGAAGAAAAGATGTTTTGGACATTGTCAGTATTGTCAGGCCTTCACAGGTCTTCCTCTCCTAAGCATTTTGAAAGCTTCTGTTGGTATTCCACTGGGCCTCTAGGCTTCCCATATTAGTACAGATTCTGTCTACTTTGCAGCCAGGAGAAAAACCCAAGGCACTCTGAAGTTAACCATCTGCCCTCTTGGAAGCAGGATATAAACCTATCACCCTGAAACTAGAGCCTTCTGATTGTTTAGAACATTGTTTATTTTCCTTTTTGATTTTTAGTATATTGTTCATTTTTCTTGTTTCTTTTTCTTTTTCAAAGAGAAAGGGTGAGATGTTTCCCTGAAAATTAAGCCTTCTGATAATGTTTTCATAGTTTTAGTTACTTTCCCATGAAAGTCCTGTAAGTTGTTTATCGCAAAGTCCATAAGTTGTTTATCGCATTCCTTCTAAGAAACGTCTTTTGATGGACATTTCACATGACCAGTGCACTTGGGAAGGTGGTAACTTAATTATCCAATCCCTGATCATTGTCAAGAATCTATAAATACTGGAGTCAGAGAATAAAGTCATGGGTTTTTGATGACACTGAGAGCAGTTGTGTGAATAATTTTGTGTCCTTTAGCAACATAAACCGAAGAGACCAAATCTTGACTGATTATTAACACAAGAAGATTATGGCTCTGTAGGTAAGCCATAACTGCTGGTATAACAGATTTGGTGTATTATCTCTAAGTGTGCAGAGCCAAAGAGCCTGCAGAACAGCTACTTCATCTCAAATTGGAGTTTACAAGTTTTCAGCTGCAGAGATGTAACCATGTGGGCCTTGCTCATGGTGAATAACACAAACAGGTTCCCTAATAATAAGTGCTGCTACAAATACCATGTACTAAGATTGGTGTTTCTTTAAAAATTCATTCTCTAGAACTTTTCTCCCTCTGACTACAGTAGCAGAACTGTAGGGAGGCTGACTGGAGGGAGAGCAGAGTGCTTCTCCAAAATGCACCCCAAAGAAATTGCCCAGGTTGTTTGGCACTCTCAGACACTGGTGTCAGTGCCCTCACAGGGCCAGCTTGGCTTTCTGCTCTGTGCAAAGGCTTGAGCCCACAAATCTCAAATCTTGGTCCTGGCTTTGCTGATAGCATTTGGGGCAATCCTTTGCAGGCAGTTTACAGTCAGTATCTCAGTTATACCATCTGCAAAATGGAGATGAAGACTCCATCTGTGGAACAGTCAGAGACCAACTCAGAAAAAATGCCAAGTAAGAGCTAGATTTCATTACTATAAATAATAGTATCTATTATACTATTATAATACAGTCTATAGGGATGCCATATTACAGAGCCTCTTTCTTTCCAGAATGATACTTCATTAGTTCTTTCACTGTTTTCTTTAAGGATAATTTTGGCAAACGTCTCAAGAATTAAAACTTTCCAGGTCCTGTGCTATATTGTTAAGACAATGCAGAAGCTTGAACAAATAGTTTTCTTTTTACTCCCACCCCCACCAGGTTGCTAAAAATATATGGGATTGGGTGATAAAAGATCACATTTGCTGTTCCAGAAAGAGAGTTTTGTCCCTGTGCTACAGCAAGACAGTCCATAACAGGTCATTGCCAGGCAAAAGACACAATTTTAAACTAATTGTCTGAGTTCACAACCGGGAGAAGTGAGATAGCATAATTTGAGAAAGAGCAAGCTCATATCTAAGAACAGAAGAGAGGCTGACTGAGACAGCATAGTTTGCTTTCTATTTTATTTTAGGGCCTGGCCTCTGTTTAAGTATTTGAGGCAACTGTAATGGTACATGTTCAACACAGCAAAGAGCCAGGTGCTGAAACAAGCACTAAATTGTTAGAGTCATGAGTGATCAATATCTTTTTAAGTTCAGTATCAGTCTGTGAAATTCCCATCCCATTGTTATATGCATTGATAGGTGTACTAAGGAATTATAAAGAACAAGGTAGGACTTCTCAGATTCAAGAAGTCCAGCTGAATGTAATTTTAAGTCCCTTACATTGCTTATATTTATGTCCATTACATTACTTACTTATGTCCTTATGTCAATAACAGGAAATTGAATCCCTAATACTGATCAAACAGGTTTTATCCAAGAAAAGCTCTAATTGGGATTTCAGTTCAGAGACAGAGGAGAAAAGGGACTGCTGTATCAAACAATTATGCTGAGATTGTTAAACTTCAGTGAATTAGCATCTTAATATCTTCTGTATGGTCAATTTTGAACAATCTCTATGTTTTAAGCCTGACCACATGCCTCAGCCTCTTTCCTCCTCTCCCTCTGACCCCTCAGATACTTTTTCTTTAAAAGAGCTATGGGATATGCAGCATTAGCTATTCTTAGGACAGCAGCACAGCCCCCACATGTCATGTCTCTTGGTACTGCATGGAGAAGCACTGTAGGCAGCTGGAAGACTTTTGCTTGAATTTTGTCATCCTTGGAAAAAAACATGAAGGTGGCTACTAAGTCTTAGGTATTATTAAACATTCTTACTAAAAACAGACATTGTTGTTGTTACTGAAAGCACTACTTTCAAATACTTATTTTAAAAAACCAACTTGTAAATACAAAGGACAAAATTAGTAAAAAATTAAACAAAGCATACATCCTGTGGGAAAATCCTGTTGTAATATTTTTTACTCTAGCTAACTTGCATTCTGCAAAAAAAGTTGCTCAAGGAAAAAAAATCCTCAGTAAGAATTTAATGAGTATTTTCATATTACAGTTTCAGAAATAAAATAGATGTCAGGTTTTTGGGTGCTTATGTCTGCCTCACAGAGCTATTAGATGGAAAGGAGGGAATAATCTCTTTAGGATCCTTTTAAAACAACAGCAACATTTCACTTGATGTTTAGCTATTAGGTATGGAAATTACACAGCTGAAGAAAAGGGTTGTTAGAACAGTGGCAAAATTGAACAGGTACAGACAAAAGAAAGAGAGAGAAAAAATGGCTGTCCAAAAAATGTTTGAATGGAATTGCCTACTTTGATGTACTTTTAAAGGGAACCCCTTTTCAGAATTTGTATTTCCTGAAAATCAGGTTAATTTAGGGTATCTAATGATACTAACCCTTGTCCCAAACTGACATGCAGGATCAGCAATGGTTTAGTGTTCTGATATAGTCTCTATGACACCATGCCTTCAATTTTGTGGGTTTTTGTGAACAGATGCCAGATAGAACAAAAACCCCCATAACCCTTTTGCCCACTGAGAGAAAGCCATTTTG